TTTCTTTTAAAAAACAACATGTAAAATACTTTTTTAATATAAAATTAATTTTTTTGTGTAATTACCTGTCCTATTTTTCATGTGTAATATAAACATCTAGATAAACATAATACATAAGTAAATGTAACATATCATCAATTGACTCATTAGAAACAATTAACACAAGGCCATCATCATTAACTCTCTTTGGAAGATGTATATGCCATACAAAATATTTTTTTACTGCTTATTTTAGCCCCCCATTTTTTCGCACCAATTTCTCTGTTATCCTTTTTTTTTTTTTTTTTTTTTTTGAACAATGGTACAAATACGGGGGAGGGGGGATGGAACCCCAGCCTTCAGGTTGAGGGGATGCACCTTACAAATCGACCTATAATCGTTGGGCCGTAAGGCCCAGGTGCCATAGTATCGACCTATAATCGTTGGGCCGTAAGGCCCAGGTGCCATAGTATCATAATCTTAAGATATAGTAATTTTAAATATTGTATGTTTTATTGATAGAAGCCATGAATAAGTAGAAAACATGTGATTGGTTATTAATGTAATAATTCATTATGTGACAAGAGTATACATTAGCTTCCATTGTTAAGAAACTAACATATAGTAATAGAATACTTACCAAGCATGATAGATTTAATTAATTAATTTATGGTATATATATATTTTTTTTCAAGGCAGCTCTCCCTCAAGCTATTGTGACATTTGTTTTTGCAAAGGAGTAGAGCGTCCATGCTGACATATATACAAAGCACAGCATAAGAATTTAATTTAATTGATTTTTTATTGAATTGGCTTTTCCATTGTTTTTTTAATCAAGTAATGGTGAGACAGAAACTAATTAGAGGTCATATATAAAAAAAAGGATAGTGTTGGTAAGTCATTTTTTACAAATTTTTTTAAAAGATTTGTCTAAAAATTTATATTTTAATTAATATTTTCAAAAATCGACCATTAAATTGAAAGTTCTATTAATATAAATCATATATATCAATTTTCATGTTGATATAATATTTATAACCCTTTAATTAAAAAACTTTATTTATTGACATACATTTAATGGTATTAATTTTTTATAATTATTAAAGTAGTTAGACCTATTAAAATAATTTAAAAATTAATATGCACGATTTATATTAATAAAATTTTCAATCTAATGGTTAATTTTTAAAAATATTTATTAAAAAATAAATTTTTAGATA